CACCACTCTCTGCAAAGCTTTTCTTTCTGCAGCTGTGCAGCCTCCATGCCACACATTGATGCTGGAGCACAGGATGCTCTCCACTGCACACCTGTAGAAGGAGGTGAGGACTGAGCTTCCAGACCAGCTCGCCTCAGCCGTCTGAGGAAGTAGAGTCTCTGATGAGCTTTCTTCATCAGGCTGGTGGTGTTGTTGCTCCAGCTGAGGTTGTTGTTCATGTGTACACCCAAGTACTTTTAGCTGGAGACCACTTCCACCGCAGATCCTCTTATGTTCAGGGGGGTGTAGATGTTTTTGTTCCTTCTGAAGTCCACAATCATCTCCTTTGTCTTCTTCACATTGATGTGAAGGTTATTCTCTCTGCACCAGCTCTCCAGGTGTTCCAGGTGATCAAGGATCAGCTCTGAGCTCCTTCTTGTTTGCTCTAGTGATGGACCGACTAAAAGATGACGTCAGGCAAGAATCCCTGTGGACTGATGTTTGCAGATGACATTGTGATCTGTGGTGAGAACAGGGAGCAGGTGGAAGAGAACTTGGAGAGGTGGAGGTATGCACTTGAAAGAAGAGGAATGAAAGTCAGCCGTAGTAAGACAGAGTCCATATGTGTGAATGAGAGGGAGGAGGTGGAACAGTGAGGCTACAAGGAGCAGAGATCACAAAGGTGCAAGACTTCAAGGACTTGGGGTCCACTGTCCAGGAACATGGGGAGTGTGGTGAAGAGGTGAAGAAGAGAGTCCAGGCAGGATGGAGTGATGGAGAAAAGTTTCAGGAGTGATTTGTGACAAAAGGGTGTCAGCAAAGGTCAAAGGTCCAAGGAAAAGTTTACAAGACAGTGGTGAGACCAGCTATGTTGTATGGTCTGGAGACAGAGACATGGACAAAAAGACAGGAGACAGAACTGGAAGTGTCAGAAATGAAGATGTTGAGGTTCTCCTTAGGAGAGACAAGGATGGAGAAGATCAGGAATGAGATCATCAGAGGTACAGCACAGGTTGAACACCTGGGAGATAAAGTTAGAGAGGACACACTGAGATGGTTTGGACATGTCCAGAGGAGGGACAGTGGTTTGGACATGTCCAG